CCCCGCCTCACCCTTGTCTGTGCGCCGGCGGAAGGACAGCTTGCGCCTGCGTTGCCTGTTGAAGCCGCCCTCCAGCTCCGCGCTGCCGGGAGACCCAGGGATCATGTTGGTCTAGAACCAAAAGCGGTGTCAGGGCCCTTCCACGCGCACCTGCCCTGCCAGGGTCAGCCCCAACCCCCTCGTTAACGTAGAGAACGTGGAGCCCGGAGCACCCGCCGTGAGGAAGCTTTCCCTGCACAGATGCTCTGCTCCACCAAGAGAGCTGAGGCCGGGCCTTTGACCTCCTCCAGCTCCGATACCGTTTGACAGGCAGGGAAACAGGCCCAGCGAGGTCACCCCAGTCGGGGGCAGCCACCAGGGTACAGCCTCCTCAGGGCAGCCCACTCACGTCCCGCAGGTTGAAGGTGATTTCCAGGCTGGACCAGAAGTGGTCCGAGAACTCGGGGTACATGTCCAGCACCTCCAGTAGGTCATCCCGGTGGATCTTGTGCAGGTCGCAGTAGGTGAGGGCCCGCACGTCCCCATTGGACTTGCCGGGCCGAGCATACAGGTTTAAAGGCTCTCCAAAGATGTCATTCTTCCCTGTAGGAGGACACCAAGAGTAGGGGCTCAGCCCCTGCGCAGCAGTACAGGGAAAAGGCATCTGTCTTCCCGGCATTCTCAGCCTGGGCTGGGGGCCTCCCCTTGGGCTGGCCACCCACCCACCAGCCCCAGCCCCCAGAGCCAGGGAGGGACTAGCCAGCCCCATCTCCCCGCTGCTCCCCAAAGCAGGATTTGTTTAGCATGGCCATCAGTGCCGTGGGGGCATAGAGGGCTTGGACCTCCTTGCCTTCCAACAACTGGAACCGGCCAGTGGGACCAGCCTGGATATACCCCTCTCTGCGCATGGCCCTGGCTTCCTTGGGTTCTAAGTCCACTTTTACCCCCTCCAAACCCTATGCCCCAAACACCATCCTGGCCAATCACTGCACCCTCATAAACAGGGCCCTTCAAGCTATAGGTCATAACACAGCAGCGAAACAAGACCAGCATTTTTGTTTACCAAAAGGAAATAGGATAGCAAAGCTGATCACAGCACAGAAGACACCAGAATGTATCACACGCACTAAAGCTAAGTGTTACATAGTGAAACTTGGGTTGTCTGTTGTGTTGGGGCTGTTTGTGGAGTGAGTATAGGTGTTGACTGAACTGAGAAATAAAAATCTAAAATGGCCCCCTGTGATGCATCTGCCCTGAGGCACATGGCCAAGGGAAGGACAGGCAGAGGACAGGAAGCCCCCTGCCCAGGCACAACTGGGAGGGAAGGAGGGGTGAGACTCCTTTGCTTTGAAGATGGTGAGGGCTGGGCTGGGCTGTATCACCTGAGGCCGCAGGGAACTGAGTAAATTTCCTTAGTAAAATCAGATGCATAACCTCCCTCCACTGCCCACTTTGGAGTATCTGGATTTGGTCCTGCTTTCAGGAAGCAAGAGCGTCGCTGCCTGTGGGGAGAGCCTGTAGGGAACAGAGTCTAAGAACCCTCAGAGTTCAGCAGCCCCGCCCCACGTGGGGCTCCTCTCCACTGCCCCCCCCCGTGGAGGGTCTAAGCTTAGGTGAATTACTTGCAGGCAGGAGTGGGTCCACGGCCCCAACAACTGTGTCCTGAGAGCTCTCCAGGCCTCCACCTAGCACCCGGTCCCCCGCACCTAGCCCCGTACCCAGGATGGCCACGACAACGTCGCCCCGCAGGATCTCAATGGAGCCCCGGGAGATGAAGTAGAGGGCGGTGAGCAGGTCCCCAGCATGCACCAGCGTGTCCCCTGGCGGTGCATGTGTCGTCTTGAACTTCATGGCCAGGGCCCTCAGGCAGCCCTTGGTGGCCGCTCGGAAAGGCTTGCAGTGCTGTAGCAGCGAGCGGTTCAGGTGCAGACAGATGTCTGCCTGCAGGCACTCGGGGAAGCCTTTCAGCACCTGGGGGCGTTGGGCTGGCTCAGCACGCTGTCTTCAGGCACCGCACCCCCCACCCCGAGACCCTGAGAGGAGCATCAGAGAGTCCACCCCTTCTAGCTGGGCGCCCTCGCTCGCCCTCCGGGAACGATGCTTCCCTGCTCTCAGCCTCCATTCTCTAGTGTAAAGTGTAGAGACCAGCTCCTGCCTGGGGCTGTTGTAAGGATTAAATGCTTTGCCTGTACGGAAGGGCCTGGTTGGGCCCGCCCCACAGTGAGAGTTCTCCCAGTACACGAGCTCCGCTATCAAAAGCAGAACGTACTTCTCAGGGTCCTTCTAGGCACTAGCACCGTGACCGCCTAAACCAAAGAACGCGATGCCGTTAGACGTGCTCACTGCATCCAGGGAAGTCTCACTGTGACCCTGCTCCCTCCAGCCCACCACCAGCGAAGCCGAGCGGCCTCACCGCGTTCATATCGATGCCGTTGGTGTAGGACCAGGCGTGCTGGAAATACTCCTCGAGACGCTGGCGGAGGGGGTTGGGGATTTGGTGGAAGCGGATGAACTCCCGCACCCGTAGCATCTGCGTGTGGTAGCGGGCAGTGCCGGAGTACAGCCGCTGGATGATGGCTGACACGTTGCCGAAGATGCTGGCGTACATGAGGGCTGGGGGCGGGGGTGAGTGGGGACATCAGCATCCGAGGGACCCCGCCCGCCCCTGCACCGGGTCGACGACACACGCAGTCACATCTCAGTGGAAGCACGCACGAGAGACGCACAAACACAGAAGCCCAGGTCCACGTGCCCTTGGGCTCTGCCTTGAATCTCCGCCTGGTGTCCCAGCCCCCACACATGCTCTGCTGGTGGTCTCAGGGCTTCCCCGCCCCAGCCCTGCTCTGGCCCATCTCGGGCTCTTCCCAGACTCCGGGCCACCCCGCCCCCGAGGATACACTCACAGCCAATGAGCATGACACAGATGGAGAAGATCTTCTCCGAGTTGGTGTTGGGGGAGACGTTGCCGAAGCCCACGCTGGTGAGGCTGCTGAAGGTGAAGTAGAGGGCCGTGACGTACTTGTCCTTGATGGAGGGGCCTCCCAGGCCGCTGCTGTTGTAGGGCTTGCCGATCTGGTCGCCCAGGTTGTGCAGCCAGCCGATGCGGGAGTCCACGTGTGGCTGCTCCATGTTGCCGATGGCGTACCAGATGCAGGCCAGCCAGTGCGCAATGAGCGCGAAAGTGCACATGAGCAGGAAGAGCACGGCCGCCCCGTACTCCGAGTAGCGGTCCAGCTTCCTCGCCACACGCACCAGCCGCAGCAGCCGCGCCGTCTTCAGCAGCCCGATCAGCTGCAGTGGGGGGGGGG